AATTTCAATTATATTCGATTTCATGTGATCTCCGGAGCATAATTGATGGTAGGCGCTCTAAATAGCTCTCGCTTCACATGCCACAAAACTATGATGAATTTAAATTCAATTAAATTCGCATGTTGGCCATTTTTTTGCCTTTCGCACTCGCGAATTCTTGCGAATTCTTCTTCTCGTGTCTTTTTCTTCTTCCCAAAATTCTCTTGTGCAGAGAGACAAGGGAGAGATAATACAGTCACAAGTGGTGTACAACTCAGTAGAAGTACTTAAGGAGTGGAAGTGGTGAAAAACCTACAAAATTCCCATTCTGAGTTTTTCTTTAACTAACAAATGATTCCAATTCTACGGATTTCCCTCGATTTTTACGCAAAATTAATAATAAAAATCTTTTTTCTAGGTTATGTAGCGAAACATGGAAAGATTTAGTGAATAATTCACATTCTTAAGTCGGAAATTTCAGCAGTAATTGACAGAATTAAGCGTTTACATGCAATAAACAGTGCTTTTTAAAACCTTTAATGCCAAGAAACACTGCAAATTGTGCAAAGATTGAACATAACCTCAAAAAGAACCATTTAAACTTGAAAAATGTTCATTTAGATAACTTTTGTGGATCATTTTGACTCTTAATCAGCAGTTTTGAGTTCATTTTGCGATCTAGAATGTTTCGAAACGGAGATTCTGAAGATTTCTTAGTCAAATTTTGAGGTTATGGTGGGAAAAGATGTTCAAAAATGCGTTTTTAAATGGACTTTTGCAGGAATATCGAACAGAAACTGAAGAAATTCATTACAATTTGGGGATGAATGTGGAAACTGTCTAGAAACTTCGAGTTCTAGAAGTGAATTTGAAAGTGGTGTACAGGTTTGAAGCATATCATGTACGCCTTGTGCAGAGAATTAATTCCCATCCAACTATCATCATCATCGCGCGGCGAGTGCAGAAAAAGCCATGGTGGAGGTGTTGAAGGAATGCTTGGGGGTGTTAATTGTCTCTCGTGGGTTTCATCGCCCCTTTTTCGCCACACACTTTTCCCGAAGAATCATCTGTAAATGTCACACTCACGGCCACAAGCCTTTTTCCCCCAAACCGCCACCCCCAGAAGAGCATTGAGGGAGAGAGTCTTGTGTTGGAGGCTTCTGGAATTAATGTTGAGTGTCACTTTCATTAAATGTTCAAATCTCGATTTATCTGGGCAAAAAGAGGAGGAAGTCTATTTTTCGCACAATCTTCACGCCACTCACAAAAGTTGACGAGAAGTCTTTCGGGGGGGGGGACAAGTACAAGTGAATTATTTATTTAGGCGCACCTTTTCCCATGAAAAGGGGTGGGAAAGTGCGGGGAAAGTGGACGAAGAGAGAGACGCTGTGGAATTTTATGAGGACACATAATCTTCTGGCCTATAAGTTTTATGTCTGGAGAAGCTGAGATGTCTTTAAATCTCTCTCTCTCTCTCTCTCCATTTATCAATGCCATTTTTTCCAGTGCTTAGCCGCCCTCTTTGCAGTCTCACTTGCCTCCCTTCCAGTGAAAAAGGGCGCACTTCTCGTCTCTTCCCTTGAATGAAAAATGACAAGGAGTCGATGCTGAATGGGAAAAAGAGTGTCCTTCGGAAATTTATCAATTTTTCATGCCAATTTTATGGGCAAAATTTCTCTTCTCAAACACTTCAGCACAACATTCCACCCCCTCCCCCCCCAATGAAGGCCATTGTCGTCCGAAAAGGTGTGGAATTTCAGGACAATAAGAGAGAATCCTCCACAGATAGAATTCAATCTGGTATCATTAGCTTTTTCCAGAGAGAAAGTGTTGTTCTCTCTCGCGCGCGCTCTCTAATTGATAAGAATTGCAAAAGATTATCACCAGGCACCTTGAGAAAAGTTTCAAGGCTCTTCCGCCACGGAGGCTGTGTTTGGGGACGCGGCGGAAATCTCCGTACCTGGATTCTTCTGCCTGACGAGACACGGTTGGAGAGATTTTGAGCTCGACTTGAAGCACTGCACAAGAAGCCTCCCTTGAACACAAAAAAAAAGCACTCACTCTCGCGGCGTTTCTACTGGCATCGACTTAGTGGGGCAAAAATCTCATGCCTCCACGAATCACTGGCACACAAACGCGCACTTTTTGGCCACTGTGGGATTCTCGCCCCGCAAAGAGTCTCTGCTCCAAGACTTCTTCCTCTGGACCAGCGCGCACGAGGCGGAATTTCGTGCGACTCGCTCAACTGCTCTGTGCCGTCTGTCAGAATTGGCCACTTTGGGATTCACTCGCGGAGAGCCTTTGCCGGCACGGGAGCCCGTGATGCCTCAGCGCTCTCGGTTGGCGCTCGAGGAACGGTTAGAAATCGATTCACACGAGCGGCCAAGTCCCAATTGACTGAACTGCCGCAGATTTAATTTACCGTGCGTGTGATAATTTGCAAAATTGTATCTCCCGTTTGTCATCCATCAATTATTCCCCCCCGAAGCGTCATTGACCTGTCTGAGATCTGCTGATGATGATGATTTATGGTCGGCGCTTTATTTCAATAATTGTCACTCCGTCGATGCAGATTCAATTTGATAAGACCCAGAGAGTGCGATCTTGGGCGTAGGACAATTGAATTACGCTCTAGTTATTGATTTTTAGGTTCTCTAATGCAATTAACTCTCGGCAATTATTGCTGGGCTTGTGATCAGATTTGAAGTCTGTTCTCTGAGTGATTCTGATTAGAAACTAAGCTAAGAGCGACTGCAGACATTGATTGACAGCTGGTTGAGCTCTAAAACGCAGATCATCCAGTATTTTCGCGGTTCGCGACGGCAGCGTCATCGATTGAAATTTGCCGAAGAGCATTTGTCCAAGTATTTGACAGTTTTGACAGTTAAAAATGCACAAAATGGCAGATTTTCTGGGCTAAAATCATCCAATTCTTCGATTAGACACAAATTTTCGCAATTTTTACGCAAAACATCATGCTTTTGAGAAAATAAACAAGTCAACTGACAGCTGAGTGCGGCACAAACTAAAATTGTCGCTAGTGTCGACTGATTAACAGCGAGAATCTCGTCAGAAGGAGAAGGCCGCCAAACATTTAGATTAATTCATTTCAAATCATCTTCTCAGAATTACAAGTTAAGCCTGTCTGGTGGTTTCACTACTCTTCCCAACCTCGTAGTGACTGCGGGACTCCTCGAGACATTGACCGATGATGCTGATGCTGTACTTAGAAGTTCCTTGAATGATTTGCCGTTCTTGCAAGCGATCAGTGTTGTATTCTATCACACTCGGGATTAGTAAACGACGTTTCACACACAGTGAATTTCTGGTCCTCAATTGAGGGCGTGTGTTCGTATCCCACTTCTGACACTATGTGACGTTAAACTTCATTACAGAATGATCCCGTGATTTACCCAACAAAGTATGATGAAAAACAACGCATAAACTCGAAATCATCCTTAAGTCTGTCTTTGTTTTATCGCTCTAAATGAAGAAACACATGTGAATACTTGCCGTAATGAAGACATGATGATCAGGAGATGAATAGGCACAAATCTGTCTCTCAACTTGCACTTGAGACGATTTACTCGTGAAGACTCGATAATGATTTGATAGATTTGTTTCGACGGTCTCTCTTTTATTACATCAATTCTTATCGGACGTCCAGCTTTCTAGGAATTGCGATAGGTGCAAGTTCAGTGTCTTCCTCGTGTTTATTTCCCTGGCATTTTCATAATTTTTCTCAGAAATGAATTATCTTAATTAATTTGTACGCAAATTCTCCAACATTGTGTACAAAACATGCACATTATTCGCAGAATAATTACATGCCTTGATAAGAGACAAAGTGTTTGGCAAAACATGAATAAATAAATTTGTGTTTTTCTCACTCACTGATCTTCGGTTGGAAAATCCCGGATCAGAATGGTTTCTTCAATCTCTGGTGCTTTGCGTGGTATTTCGTGCCTCCTGAATGTCCTCGATTCTCTCTCGCGAGCCTTTCCCGCAGTTGAGCACAGCGCAGTCGCTGAGTGTGGCTCTCTTGCTCCTTTTTCCAGGAAATTTCAGGCGGAACATCCTCAGTGGGATGCTCCTAAGGACACTCTTGATATTTGAGCTACTGCACAAATCCTCACCCTTTCTCGGAATTCATGCACACCTCGCAGCATTCCTCGGAAATTCGCATGAGTTTTTTTTCCACTTCCTTCACTCCTTATTCCCAGATTTCAGCTGCTCGTGGGAAAGGGATGGGCTCGGCTCAAGGGTGTCAGGCACGACAGGGTCAAGGTCGATGCTGGAGGAACACCTGGACCGCAGCGGTCTGCGCGCCTCTTCGGTCGGCACGCGGATGAAATGGGCGGAAAAGTCCTGCGGGAGAGCGCAAGGAGTTGGCTGATCGGAGGGGAAAAGTCCCTGATAAATGGCTCAAGGTTGTTACTTCTTCCGGTGCATTTTTCAGCCTAGGGACCCACCCTGTTTTAGCAGTTGTCCGCCGAGCGCCTGCGCGGCGTAAAAGCACGTTTTCCCTTCGGGTTCCGCCGCTCATCCCGCTCTGGCATTACTCTGGCGTCTCTGTCGCTCTCACTGTCTGGCAGGAGTGTCATTTTCCGTGTGAAATTCATCTTGATTGCGTTGCTTGACTCTCAAGAGTGTCACTTGAGCACGTCCCTCGGCCAGACCTCGATTTCCATCCCAGCCTGCATCTCGCTGAGGGCGCTCCTGCACGGCGCCTGCTGGACTCTTGGGCGCCTCCGCGCCCTCTCGTTCGCTCTTGTCTTGGGCCACCAGAAGACCATCACAGTGCGTGTTGGGCGTGTAAAAATAGACTCTGTGTGTGCCTCTCATGCTGATTTTCCACCATCGCAACGCAGTTTTCCCTGAGCTGTGAACCCGTGAAAATTGTGCCATGACTGCTCGTGCAGGAATCTAACGGACACGCCCGCGGAGAATCGCAATCGCGACATCGGGCAGTGGATCCGCAGCGTCCGCAGATGTGCCATGTGAAGAAGAGTGCTGGAAGTGCGGGAAAAAATGGGTGTGAAGCGTATTTGTGGCCATTGTGTGGCTCTGCTGGCGGCCTTTGCCCTCCTCAGCATCGCCATCCGGACGGCCGGGGTGGCGGCCACCCCAGAGGGTGACGTGTAAGTGCCTCCCGGACGCCCCAGTTGCATCCTCCGGACGGCAGAATTGCCTCCTGACACGGAAAATCTCACCCGATATGCCTAAAAATATCCCTCCTGTGCCACCTTAAGGTGTGAGTGACGTCGGTCATCTTCGTCTCCCACGAGATTTTCCCACCCAGAGCGAGACGGTGCGCTAATCGCGCGCCTCCGGCCGTCCCGCTCGCGGTCGGTTAGCGTCCCGGCGTCTCACACAGCTCACAATCCAATGTCACACTCACACTTGGCGCGCAAACGGGCAAAACACAAAATATTTGCATTTGCGGAAAGAACACAACATTCGCCCATTGCGAAACTCCACCTTTTCTTCTGCGTCTCACGCGCCCGAACGGAAATAAACCGGGCCAGTGAGGCAGCACGTGGCGTCGCACTTATTCTTTATGTGTGCTTTCCTCTGTGAATCAGAGCGAAAGTTTGCGCGGAAAATGACAAAGTCCCATTATGTACATTACTTTCTGTGCTTCTCGTAAAACTCATTGACGCCGAAGTAAAGTTCTTTTGTCGGCCTTAATGGCGCGCAATTGCATAGCAAGTGACTTTAAACATTTCAAGACATTCTATATGATTAGGCCGTGATAGGGCGGAAGAAATGGTACAAAAAATTTTAAACAGTAGCTAAAAACATACAAAAAGCAAATTGACAAGGCCAAATCAAGGCGTACTCTTATGTAAATGTCTTCTAGACATTACAAACTCATGGTTTTACGTGGATTTAGAGCAAAATAGGCAGTGTCCTAACTTAATTTTCGCTGCTGTATACGCAGCTTTCTCTGCATTTTGCAATATCTCGGTCCCAATTTGAGATATCGCCATGATATCAACGCCATTTGAAAGATCATTAAATTCTGATCATTTTTTGTCTTAAGGTAAATGCCTCTACAATTGAAAGAAATATCACATTTTTAGCACCAAAAAAATTCGCCAAAAATTTCATAAGTGTCCTAACGTAATTTTTGCTACTGTTTGTATATTATGTATATTGTACATAATCCATCTAAATAAATCCTTTTTCTAGTTGTTTTTTTTTCATCAGAGTTCAGCAGAAATGAACAAACTTTCCCGCAAAACCCAGAGAGAGAGCAAATGTTTTGGTTTTCCAATGATAAATTTAGTGTTGTTTACACGTCTTAAAAGCATTTTTCACTTGCTTTCAGTGTTGAGCTCTGGGCACAGAAGTTTGGCGATGAATTGTGGGAACTTGGCCAGAAAATGACGAAATCACCGGAGATTCAAGCGGTAATAGAAACAATTACATCTTATAATTCGCAATGATTAATGGAATAATTGTATTTCAGAAATACAAAGCCTACAACGCTCGCGTAGAGCCGAAGGACGGCGAGAGTCTGATCCAGTCGATTGTGGAGAATGTGGGCAGGATGTTCATCCGGAAGATGGATGCGGTCAAGTGCATCTTGCACGTGGCTGAGGAAGTGTCTGAGCAGTTTGAGTTCAACGAGACGTATCCGGGCAACTTCTCCTACTACTCCAGCAAGTACAGCAGCATCTACGGCAAGGAGCGCGACGTGGAGCTGCCGGAGTCCATTCAGAACAACGCCTTCATGTACGAGGAGATGTATCTGGATCAGGACACGCACTTCTACAACATCTCAGTCAACACCACTCACAGTTCAGTGCACGTGCCAACAAATGTATACGATCGATCGAATCGCGTGATGGAAGCGCTGCAGTGGTCAGAGGCGCTGGACGAAGTGTTTGTGCAGAACTACAACTCGGATCCTGCGCTGTCCTGGCAGTACTTCGGCTCCTACACAGGACTGCTCAGGCACTATCCCGCCATGGAGTGGGAGGGCGAGGAGGTGGACGTTTACGACTGCAGAAGACGCTCGTGGTACATCGAGACGGCCACTTGCTCCAAGGACGTCGTCATTCTCCTGGACAACTCGGGATCGATGACGGGCTTCAGGAACTACATCGCACAGCTCACGGTCAAGAGTGTCCTCGACACCTTCAGCAACAATGACTTCATCAACATCTACAACTACTCGAGCGAGATTCAGGAACTCGTGCCGTGCTTCAATGACATGCTGGTCCAGGCGACTCCTGAGAACATTGAAGTCTTCAATGATGCTGTCCAGGGATTGGAGCCCGAAGGATACGCCAATGTCACGAAAGCCTTCATTCGAGCCTTCAAACTCCTGGAGAAGTACCGAGATATCCGACGATGCAATGAGTCGACGACAGGATGCAATCAAGCGATCATGCTGATCACCGACGGAGTTCCTGGCAATCTCACAGAGGTGTTCAACCAGTGGAATAGAGTACAAGTGAACAATGAGACGAAGACTCCCGTCAGGATATTCACGTACCTTCTGGGAAAGGAAGTGACGAAAGTGAGAGAGATTCAGTGGATGGCGTGTCTCAACAGAGGCTACTATTCGCACATTCAGACGCTGGATCAGGTGCAGGAGGAAGTCCTGAAGTATGTCACAGTCATAGCGACTCCTCTCGTCCTGCAAGGAGTGGAGCATCCTCCAACATGGACTCACGCTTTCGCGGACAAAGCCGTAAGAAACCTAAACATTCAGATCTTCACCACATTCTCCCCTTGTTGTTGCCTTTCTTTCAGTACAAACAAGAAGACGACGACGTTCCTCCGAGACTCATGATAGCCGTGGGAGTGCCAGCCTATGACCACGAATATGATCCAATTCGGAACGTCACGAGGAGTATAAGTCTCTTGGGAGTGGCAGGAACAGATGTTCCCATTGAAGATATTGACAAACTCACGTTGCCTTACAAAGTATGCTAAGAACTGACTAAGAAATGATCTTTGCTGAAGCTTGGCTTCTTCTCTTGCAGCTCGGGGTGAATGGATACTCTTTCATCATCAGTAACAATGGTTACGTTCTCCTCCATCCGGATCTCAGGCCAACACACAAGGGTATCCTTAAGCCAAACTACAATAGCATAGATTTCACCGAAGTGGAGCAGTTCGAGGATGATCGCGAGGGAAGGGATCCAGGAGATGATCTCCTGGAGCTCAGGGAGAGTCTAGTCAACACTGTGACGGGGAAAATGGTGAAAATCCCCGTGAGATATCACTATGACAAGATGCGCAGGGTGTCTCCGGAGGTGCAGGACTACTACTTCGCTCCGCTGGTCAACACTCCGTTCTCCCTTGGCCTGGCGCTGCCGCACGATTACGGCAACACGTGGATCAAGGTTGGCGACGAGATCAAGAGGAATCAGCACATGGGCGTGAATATCTCGGATTTCTTTGTCGGCGAGAACTGGAAAATCCATCCCGACTGGGTGTACTGCAAGTATCACTATCTGGAAGGGCACGAGTTCAAGACGCCCGAAGCGGAATTGAGACACTTCCTGAAGAAGCTCTACGATCCACAGTGGACGTGGTCGCAACAGTACGAACCTGATGTTGGCTTTGACACCGCGGATTCGACTGAACGTAAGTTCTTGTGGGTTGAGAAGAAGCTTGAACTTGAGACTTCTCTCTCTCTCTCTTCCAGCAAACTGCGGCCGGAAGACACTCGATGATGATGCATATTACTGCAATCGCGAATTGGTTCAATTGCTGGTGTTCGATGCCAAAGTCACAAACACTTCTTATCGCGAATGGCGCTTCGAGTCCGCGTCGGAGAAGGAGCTGATTCAGCGTTACAACGCCACGCTGCGCTTCGTGGCCACCATGAGTGGTCTCACGAGGTGGCAATTCATCTTCGGCGAGGTGGAAGTCGACACTGATCGCGAGTTCGGCGACTACCACACGACGGCCATCGATGAGACGTGGTACAAGAGCGCCATTCTGCAGCACAAGATCGATCCGCAGAGCTTCGTCTACTCCGTCCCGCACGCCAGCGATCCGGCCGAAGAGGGAGAGCTCAAGGTGACGGCGTCTCATGCCATCTTCCCCAGGGATGGCGGCCTGGAAGCGCCCGGCGCCGTCGTTGGCTTCCAGTTCTCGCATCAACTCATGTACGAACGCTTCATGGAGCTGACTTCGAAGACCAACGTGAGTCCCAAAGTGTCCTCAATGGTATTGTGGGGATTGATGAAATTGATGTTTTCAGTGCATTGACTGCATGAAGAGTTGCGAATCGGACGAGCAGGATTGCTACGTGATTGACAATAACGGCTACGTGATCCTTTCGGAGACGCAGAACGACACGGGGCGCTTCTTCGGGGAGTTGGAGGGAGCCGTGATGGAGGCGATGGTGGAAGCGGGCATCTACAAGAGCATCACCGTCTACGACTGGCAGGCGCTGTGCTTCGAGGAAGTCATGGTGTCCAGCGACAGCCACTTCCTCATCTCTCCCTTCAAGCTCCTCGTCCTGACCATGGACTGGCTGTTCACGGAGTTCGTGCTGCATCTGTCCAAGCTGCACATGTGGCTGGTGGAGGGCGTTCCGCTGGACGACGTGTATGATGACTACGACACAGCCACGCTGCCCACGAAGAAGCTGCGCAAGGGCCAGAACCAGGAGGAGGAGGACTACTTCAATCGCCCCAAGGAGATCAAGTACGAGACGCACCACTACGCGTGTGACAAGCAGTCGCAGCTGTTCGTCCTGAACCAGAGCATGTTCATCCAGGGCAACGGCTTCTCAGGCGAGGGACCAAGGAACTGCTCCCGTCCCTACTACATCAAGCGCATCCCGCACTCCAATCTCGTCCTCGTCGTGGTGAACACGATGCACTCCAGCTGCTATCGCTTCCTCACCGCCGAGCCGCAGGTCATCGAGTACACGGTGGAGTTCCCCTGCCACAAGCTCGCGATGAACTACCTGCCGCGCCGGCGTCTGGAGGAGTGCTTCACGGAACATCCGGACGAGGAGGAGATGACCTACTGCGGCTCCGCCGCCGACCACCTTCCGTCAATTGTGGCATTTGGCATTGGCCTCCTCCTGATCCTCTCCCTCCACTGAAAGCCTTCACTTTTAGACGACTTTTTCCGCATTAGGGCCGGCACGCGTCCCTCCAGCACAGGGTACACGAGGAGGCATTAGCGTGGTTTCTGGTTTTGGCCGCTTCTCTCTTCAGTGGGCGGGGCAAACGAGTGGGCGGAGCTCTGGCGTTTGATTGAAAACCAGAAAATACTCATTTTAATCCATCCATTAAATGTTTTAAACGCATTTCCACCATTTTTAGGTACTCAAATTGAAAGAAAAAAGAATAAAGAAGCTTTCCTAGTCATTTTTTCATGTCCTTCACAGATGCTCCGCCCAGTCTGTCTGACACAAAACCACCAACGACAGTTAATGCCCAAGATGGTGAACATTAGAATTGCGTAAACAATGTGGTTGTAGCTGATATATATATATATTTAAAAAGGTGTAACAGGAGAAAAAAAAATGTAGCAAAATCAAATATTTTCAGTGTAGATAGAGTGAGATTTTATTCGTTTGTGTAAAAAGAAAAAAATCAAATTTGGGGGGCTTTTCAGGAAATATGGATGTGAAAAGGCCAAAAAGAAGTCAAGTTTAGTTATAAAAAATTAAGTGTTAAAAAATTTTCTAGATAAAGAAGAAAGATATTAGACAATCGATTTTATTTGTTGTTTCATGTGGAAATTAATTTTTGCGAAAAGGAAATTGTGGGAAAATTTTTGAAAGAAAACTATAATGTAGTTTAAGATAAATAAGGAAATCTTATGAGAAACTCCCCAAAATTGTGTACCTCAAATATTAGAAAAAACCTCCTGTTTTTTTTTCCTAATAAAGACACACGACAAAAGAGAACACCAAGTCCTTGTAAAATAGAAAGAAAAATGTAGAGAAAAACTGAGAAAATAACACTTATATACGGGATTTTTAACATTTTACCTTATATACATTTTATTGATATATACCAAAGTGAAGTGAACAATTAAACAATTTATATGAATGTGATCCTACTTTTTAACATGGACTCTTAGAATTTAAATGACACACGCAATTTATTATGGTAAATTTGTTACACAAGAAAACATAATGGAACAAGAAAAAAAAATGTTTAATACAATAATTATATGATAGAAGACATGATGGAAAAAAATACACAGAATATTTTATTGTGTAAAATTGTAATGGGATTAAATGTTGAAGAAAAAAAATGAATATTTGTTGTTTCACCAAATAATAAATTTTTAATCGAACATTGTGCAATTATAAATTATTTTGTGCATTTCCCTGCATTTAATGTTGTGGCAAAATTGAGGTAATTCGGCATGTTTTCCAGTGCAAAGCGGCAGAAATAAATACAGAAACTAACTACAAATGCTAAACTAAAGCTCTCCAGACGTCATCCGGCGTCCTTCACGGCACTCTGGCCACTGCCCTCGTCGATAGGATCGATCTTCAGCACCATTCCGCCGTCCTCCTGCTCCGCCATCAGCGGAATCTGCGGCGTGAGTCCTCCCGTGGCCCAGAGATACAAGTCCAGCGTCCTGCCGGCGCATTCGGCGATGAAGCGCACGAACGGCCGCACGTCGCCCTCGTTGGCCGTCTGCAGGGCGTCGTAGTACTGCAGCCGCTGCTGCTTCGCGATGATCGCCGGCGGATAGCCGGCGCGCATCAGGATGGTGTTCATCAGCAGCCGCGAAGTCCTGCCATTGCCGTCGGCGAACGGATGAATGTGCACGAGTTTGTAGTGCGCCAGAGCCGCGAGTTTCACTGGATGAAGAGATGTGGTTTGCGGCGCGTTCAGCCACTGCTCGAAGCGATCCATCAGACTCTGCAGATCTCCCGGGCCGGGTGGGATGTGTCCGCCGACGTAGACTTGCGTTGTCCTCAGAACGCCACCCTCGATGGGATCCACGTGGCCCAGGACTCTCTTGTGGATCTCCAGGATGTCCTTCAGGCTGATGAAGTCGTTCCTGACGAAGGAAATCAGCGTTTAGAATTATTGCCTCGTTGCAACTTTACTTTCATAACATTAATAATAAGCTGTCAAAAATATTAATTCGTAAAAAAGGCGTTGCAAGATTACGATTCATAACATTTACTAATAAAGTGAAGACAAGGCAAGCCGGAAAATTTACATAAAAATCAGGGAAATAGACAATCATGCTATTTGTGTGTAGATAAACACAGATTTATTTGATTTTTCTGGCCATTTGTGCACATTTCAATGCACCAGATTGAGGTTATGAGAGCGTCTGTGGCTCTGTGGTCAACGCGCTTGACTCTCGATGCTACAGTCGTGTGTTCGAATCCCACCAATTGCAAATGTTCGAACACAGCAGAGTGCAAAAATAAGCCTTTCAATGGCAAATTATAGCAGCCAAAATGGATTACTGTTGAATGTTTTAGCTGAAACATACGCTTCACTGGAATTGTCTTGCGCTCTATCTCTGTATATAATAAAGGTGGGCGTTAGAACCACTTATGGTTGATCGGCAAGCTGACAATCTGTCATCGTAAAACCCAAAACTGTCATAAATGACTTTCTGACACTTAAATTCATATTAAATAAACTCTATCTTTGCCTTGCAACGCTTTCTCGTTCATATTTCATTCGTCTTTTACACTAGCTGTTGCCGTGCGGCCGTCAATATTAGCTATGAAAGAGTAAAGTTGCAACACCGAATTGGTAGCTTTTACGAACTAAAATACGAAATCCGTATTATTGCAACGACCGACCAAATAATGAACACAATTTGATGAGCACACACCTGTTGACCAGGCTGGCGTTGATGTATTTGAGGGCGGAATCCAGTCCCAGGATCTCGTTGTGCTCGTCAATGCTCTTCCCGGCCACTGCCATCCGGGTCTCCAGGATGGAGCGCGTCTGGGAGAGCGACATGGTGTTGCCCTCGATTCCCACGGAGTGGTAGATGTGCTGGAAGTAGGCCTCTTTCTTGGCCCTGCGCAGCGCCGCGCTGGACTCGTGGATCTGCGACAGAGCGTCTCTCTTCCTGTCCAGCTCCGTCAGCGTCTCCTGGTCCAGGCTGTCCACGATGTTGGCGGTCCTCTGGCGATTCAGCAGCGCGGCGTCGTGGGTCGGATTGACGATCAGCGCCTGGAAGTACAGCTGATCCGCCTTGACGACGTCCCTCTTCGAGTGCTCCAGGAACTCCCCGAACTTTGTCAGTATTTCAGGATGCTTCGGCGCCAGAGCGATGGCATGCTCAAACAGCTTGAGCGCCTTGTCCTCCTTGCCGTCTCTCTTGAAGTCCTCAGCCACCTTGAGGATGGACAGAGCCTCATTCTTCTGCCCCAGCAAATCTGCAGGCATCTCGCTGTCCAGGAACTTCCTGACCTGGAAATCCTCTCGCACTTGCAGCCAATTCTCCGACGGCAGCACGTACTTCGTCTTCTCCACCACAGTGTAGTTCCTGGCGAGGAATATCACAAGAATTGAGCAGAAGATGCCCAGGAAGAAGATGACAAAGTGGGAGAAGAGCTGCATTTTTCGCCTCCAATTTGACGATTTTATCTCTTCCAGAAGACTCTTGAGCATGGTGGAAAAGCACGAACGGGTCACGAACTAATCAGCACTGGCATTCTTGCCACTTATCACTGGTTATCACGGATTAAATTGCTTTGGCAAAGACTGACGTGGTTTTCTCACCAAATTGTGTTGTTTTTCTGCACACAAATTGACAATTTGCGCCGAAAACACCCGAACTTTGATCGGCGCACGAGAATCCCACTTCGCTTTGGAGACTTTCGAAAAATTTCTCTGAAGACTTTTCGATGTCGAAAAGTGTGAATTCAAACACTGACAGTTTGCTGTATTTGCCTTTCTCCAGCCATTTGCGCGGGTGGGCGAATTGAGTTGAAAAGTCAATAAATAATTAAGAAAGACCAAAGAAGAACTACTTAAGAAGGAAATTTGCTCAATTTCACCGCTCAGTTGGTCAAGTGAGCGTAATTTGTGCTGGAAGAAACACACCAAGGAATTGGCGAAAACGTACAAAAGCCACTCATTATTAATTCAACTACATGAGAAAATTTTCTTTTCTCTCTCGCGCACACCAAACTTGCCACGGATAAGAGAGCCTGCAAGTTTAATTAACTTACCAACATCGATTGCCAACCCCCTCGCGCACTTCTTTTTCAACCCCGAATTCACCCTTGAGGCTCCAAATAATTCCGCGTGCACTTTCGCAAGGAGAACCGCAAAAAAGCGCGCAAAGCCTTCATATGGAAATTGCGTGGGAGTTTCTTTTCATGGTGTTCTTGAGGGTGACTGAACACCCTCGGATTGACATTAAATTGACAAAATAGATGGATTACAGGTGGAAAAAAAGGGTGGGCGTGAAAAGCAGTCGATGATTTGGTACTTTTGCCTGGCATAAACTTTTGCACTTTTCCCGCTATTTGACGGTGAAAAAGGGGGTGTTTGTGAATGGTTGTGAAGGGTATTTTTCTCAATTTCCCCAAAATCATCCACTTGTCAATTTCCTCTCCCCCTGAAAATTCTCTGTGTGCGCCAAAAAGTGCCGAAATTACACCAGAAATGACACATTTCTCATGTGATCAATGGCAAAATATTTCCACCCAAGGAATTAATGCCAAAATTTACACACACGGAATGCATTATTCCCATCTCATATTGTGAAAATAGGCAAAATGCGTGCACAACCAAAAGCCGCTCATGGAAATCCATTTTCCCTTTTTCACTCGATTATAATATATTCCCTTTTCAATTTCCTCCACTCAACCGCATTCCATCCACGGCTTCGCATTTCATGACCTCCCGTCGCGCTTCCAGGGTCACGTTGAATGCCATGTGGCGTCGCTTTGCAGCGAAATGGCCACTGAAACGGCGAATAAGATGGACTTTGGCCACTGAAAAGCTTGCTGAAAAGGGATCCACAAACTTTCACACATGATATTACTGTCTGTTGAAGTTTAAACGAGGATTTCTGTGGATTGTTTTTACAAACAAAATCCAAGAGAAGATAAAATAGCAAGAAACTGTACATAATTTCGTGTATCTCTTTATTACCATAACCTAAAAGCATTAAAAGGATTCTAAAGGTACTTTTCTTAAGAAGATTAAACTCTATAATCATTTTTACAAGTTTAAAAGTACTGATTTTGAGTTAAACTTAAGTCGAATAGTCCTTTAAATTTGCCTTTACTGGGTAAATAGTAATATTTTTGAGGTTATGTTCGTCTTAAGTTCAAAATAAAGTCTTTGATTTGAATTAAACGATGCGAAATCACAAAAAATGAAAGTGTGATCAGTTTAAGTGAAAGAACTGATTTTTATTAGTGTTATTTGTGCCACAAAACCTCTCTTAAATTACGCAGATAACCTAAAAAAGCATTAGAGAGTTATGTTACTACGTTGCAATGTTGGTAAGTTAGTGAATTTTAAGTTATTAAGTTGGTTTAACACACGCTTTTGCTATTCTGATTCACACATGTGTTAACACCATATTAATTCTCCTGAATGTGTTAATATTAACACGATCTGCTGAAGTTGTTTTATTGAATGCGTAAAAAGCAAAATAACGGATCTTGATCTGCAAATATCTTACAAAAATGGATCAATCCGCAATTGTGACTCTCATTTTTAGGCATAAACATAAAAGATATTTGCAACAAATTCTTTATATCGTAGATTTACTGAAGTATTTTCTTGAATTTCAATAATTTAGGCAAATTTCACCATTTTTCTTCTCTTACACGTTGTGGAATCGCTTAAAACTCAATTAAAACACTGTTTTAGCGAGAATATCAAGGGCAGTTTTTCCTTATTCATTTAGAATGTTAAACTTTGACATGTTTGAAGTTTAACATGTCTGTGTGTGACTGAGAATTGCTCCAAATAATTGCTTTAAAAGAGTGTTAATTTTATCTACTTTTCCCCCCAAAATGGCGCGAAAACTTGGTTGAAATATGGAATATGACGCTTTGGATCTTCTTTTATTAGGATCTTGGCGAAAAACTGTGAGCCAGATTAGCGCATTTATCAAATCATTAGCGTAATATATTTAATATAAACTCATTTTCATCCGCAAATGAGGTGTTAAAGTGAAAATGGCCCTTTAAAGTCCGCTCCGGCGGAGAGTGACGCGAAGGAGGGGCGGAAGCAGGTGTCAAAGTAATCAAAGACATGGGAGCGAAAATGGTCAAACGCCTCATTACCTTCACGCAATTTCCTTGGGTGATGGAATTCCTCAGCGCGCGCCTTGCAAGTATTATTTAGGAATTTACTCGAGCTGCAATAATCCAATTATGTCGTTACCCCAGCGTCTCGTGGGGAGCACAAATTTCTATCATATAAATAACAATCGATTCATTGATCTGTAAAGAAAGCGATTTTGTCCGCTCGCCCGAGAGGTTAGGCAAACATCACTTCAGGGGGTTTGGGGGGAAATGTTCTGCTGTGTTCTTGGAAGAGGGAGGGGGAAACACAGGCTGAGATTTCACCTGAAGGAATTTCTTGGGTGGCTCAAGAAGTATGGAAAGAAAAACATTTTTCCACTATTTATTTATTCCTTCCGCATTTCTGTGCCCTTCGTTTTCCCACCACTTCACCCTCGGGGACTTGCCTGGCTTCGCCGTATGTTTATTCGAGATGAGATTTCCCGGATCGTTTTCCAACGCTATAATCTTCTCTGAGAGTTTGTCTATTTGAGACATTTTCCGCGATCTCTTTTTTCGTCCCATCTCTGTCGTCCTTTTTTTTCGGCGGGAGGGAAAATGTCGCGCTGCTCTTGGCTCTGCGGAGGAGGGACGATTTTGGGGGTGGCTGCAGATGGAATTGTGCAGCAAGCATTGACAGCTTAATATCCCACTCAGTTATTTATGTGTGTCAGGAATAAATTCATCCCCCCAGAGTTTGTCTTCGCAACCCCCACCCGAGCCGACCTCTGAATACGGTTTTAATCATCTTATCGATGACAACGTGTTCCACCTGGGAGGCTGAACAGGCTCGCAGGACAATGGGGAGCGCCCAGAGGGTGGGCTCGACCTAATTGATGGGGTGAATGGGCTGCGCTTCGATGGCTATATCGTTAATTTTCCACTCTCTCAGCGACGATGACAAATGTCCCATACCAAGTAATCGTTTGCATTGTCCTGCACAGTAATTATGCTGCTCGAGACCTTGCCTACGATTGCAAACTCACCGGTGAATGGGACTTAAAATCTTCGCACTAATGCTCGGCTGTGTGAAAACACCGGATAATAGCGGACTGCGGGGCTGCTAAAATGGCACATTCGCCTGGCTTTTGTCCACTGAGATGGAAAGTGAGCAATTAGATTTCCCCCAAATCGAAGATTGCGAATTCTGTTTCAACAAATTGAGACATTTTCTGAATTATTTTGCCTACAAAAACCAATTTTACCGGCATTTCTAGGTTATGTGATTGATTTCTAACAGATTCTGACGATTTCAAAACCCTCAAAATCATCTAATATGTGTTAAAGCTGGGAATATTTCTCTTTTTCTTGACACAGTTGAGCATCTGTGATCGAAAAAACTTCATATTGGTTGAGAAGAAGCTCACAAGTCTATTATAACCTCAAAAAATATAATTTCGCTATAGAAAAACATTTCTTTGCATAGATTTTTCATTGAATCATTGAGAAATTCACAATATTTACTCATTTCTAGGCTTGAAAGAATACAAATTAGCCCAAGAAGGTTTTTTTTTAGCAGGATTCATAACCTCACAGTTTGATTAGATTGTGAGAAACAGTTAAAGGAATTGGAAAAGCGATTCAAAATGCTTTTTAAGTGTCTGAAGTGTTAAAGATCCTGCACAGAAAGTGAGGAAGTGTCAGGAAGTGGAGTATAGATTAAACGCATATTATCTCGCTCTTGATTTTCAGCACAATCATCAACTGAAGAGGCAAAATAGACAGCGTCCTAATTTAATTTTCGCTGCTGTATACGAAACTTTCTCTGCATTTTGCAATATCTCGGCTCCAAATTGAGATATCGCCATGATCTAAACGTCATTTGAAAGATCATTAAATTCTGTTCATTTTTTGTCTTAAGGTAAATGTCTCTAAAATTGAAAGAAATATCGTATTTTTAGCACTAAAAGGAAAAATGGCCTAAATATTCGCTACTTTAGTTCAATTAATGATCAAATGCGACTAAAAAGGGTTAAAAATTAATATTCATCACACATAAATGTTTCCTGTTGAAATTGTAAATGATTCTTTATCAAATTTGTTTAATGAAGCTGTTCTGAAATTGCTCCAACCTCCCCTAAAAATTGTACATAAAATAATTGCAAATTAAAAGTTGGCTTAGCTTTGCCATATTAAAAATAAAAGCCTGCGCAAGTGAAGCGGAAACCCAATTATTCCTTTTACAACTCGCTGGGTCAATTTTTCCTCGAGTGCAAACGCAGTTAGAAAAGTGCCAAATTGCATATTTTGCAGCGCAGCACATTTTCTCTCTCTCTCAGTGTTGATTTGTATGAGCTTTTCATGGAGACTCACATTTGAGATAAATTCATCTGCCATGGGAGGAAATCCATTCTTCTCTCTTCCCCAGAATTCATAGCTTTTCACTCTGGGCTCTCACTCCTGAGATTCTTTTTCATCCAAAATAGACAATCTGTCTTGTGGCTTCAGTCAGTTTATCAAACTTCAAGTTCACCATCTTTCCTTCCT